GGGGGGGGGCGCTAACGGGAGGGTGCGGAGAGCGAGGGTGGCCTATGATAGGTTCGTGCATCGCGCCTGCCACGCCACTCCAATCGGACCAACCTGTCAGTCATGCAGAGAGAAGGAAATTGGAGAGGGAGGGGGGAGGGGTAGTAGTAGAGGGAGGAGTACAGGGAGGAATAGAGGGAGGAAGGGTCAGGGTTTGCATGAAGCAGCATGCCCCCCGACGTCACTTTTGCTAAAAGGGTTTCCCAGCGGGGAGCTCAGTTAGGTTGGCCCCCTGGGAGGGTGAGGGCTGATGAGGGTGGGGGTTGATGTAAGGGCGTGGACCCCCGCCGCCGCCGCCCTGCCTCTCCTCTTGGCATCGCCAGCTCGTCCCATGGGTCGGGTCGGTCGGTAGGCCCGCCCCGCGTCCAGGAGGAGGCAGGCGGGCTTCTGCTAATGGATTGTCTCCGCACCCGTTCGTCCCGGCGCTGCCCTCCCGGCGCTGCTAAACACGCGAGCACGCCGCGCCTTCTCCTCACGACGGCGGCCATGGGAACGTGCTGCTGCCGCTGCTGCTGCTGCTGGGAGGGAACATGTGGCGGTCTCGCACGAGCACGCCGGGCAGCACCAGCACCCACCCGCGCGATGATGAGCTGTCCTCCTACCGCCGGTCACCTTCAAAAATAATGAAGAATGTGATGGAAAAGAGTACGGCGGCGCGAGGATATGAAGAGTGTCGAGTCGAGCTGTGGAAATGGCGCGAACACAAAGAGACTTGTCTCACAAAGGATCGCGACGCGGCAGGGCAGGGCGCTCGCCTTCGCCATCGCCATTCGGACGGACGGCCGTCCATGCAGCACGCTGACGGCGACGACGACGCGACGGTCGGCGCCAAGCACCGGCGCGGGCGGCGCCACTTCGAGGCCGCCGGCGCCGCGGCGCAAGGTGGACGGTCGATTTGCACGCGTGTTGATGGGCGGGGCGGGGCGGGGGCGGAGAGGGGTTCATTGCCTGTTTGAGCGGGCGGCCCAGCCCGGCGGTTGAGCTGCTCGAAGCCCCGCGGAGCTCAAGCCCTGCTCCTGCCAAGCAGCTTTTGGTGCGCGGTATTTTAATGGGCGACCAGGGGTCGGGTGACATCAGCGCGCGACCAGCCAGCGAACGCGTCGCGTCGCGGAGCCGCGCCCGCTCGCCTCGCTCCAGCCGCAAGCATACACTTGAGCTCAGTCTCTCCAGCCAGCGGCTCCAGCAGTGCAGACTCGCGCCCCGCCCCGCGCCCGCCGTTCGCGGTGTGGCGGCGCGTAGCTGGCGCGCTGCGGCTCTCCGGTTCTGCTGCACCGGCCGGTACAACCGGGCCTGCCTGGAATGTAGGACAGAGAGCCGCAACGGCGAGCCCGCCCGCCAAGTCCCCC